CAGATATACAATTTACTAAAACAGAAAGGAAACACATTTTAAGGACTGAAATTCTCGTAGATAGAGGCCTAACTAATAAAGTGGCTACATAACTCATTGTCCCTTTTAAAAATAATCTTGATTCTTTCTTACAAAATGCAAACGTAAGCTTACAAAGCTTTTAGTTATGACCGGAAAATATACGCAATTCCTTAACTGGAAATATTTTTCCCTGCTTATAGTCTCGAACTCTTTTCAGACAAAAGATTCACCAAAGCTTTATCAAGGTCGTCCAAAAATAATGAAAATATTTTCGCAAATCCGTAGATATGTCTGGTGCTCCCATGTTGTCAAGGGAGAGCCTATGTTTATGAAAAGCCTCGCACTCAGGGAAATAATAGTTGATGTATTAATTATTTGGAAAGGAATCGTTTTGAATTCGACTTATTGCTTCCCTTATTTTTTACTTTCTCCAGTGAAATAAGAATCTCCCTTTGGGTACATTATTATTTTCTTTTGTCATATTAGTTGACAGGATTTATCTTTTCATTTCCACACCCCGAAAACATATTGCAGACAGGTGTTAAATATACCAAAACGGTTGTCCTGTAACTTTTAGAACTCGGCATTCGAGGCATACTATTTCCGTCATGGCACCCTTCCTGTGTTATATATTACGCAGTTTTTGGAAGTTTAATGAGGAAGTTTTTCATAGCTAATACAAACAAACACATGACAGGACGGAAAATGCGTGCATTGTGAGTACCTCCCGTTTTCTCATAGAAAGCCTTAGAAAACTTTTCTAAGGCTTTGTATTGGACAACGGGGGGTACTTACAGTGCACGCATTTTCCGTCCTGTCCTAAGAATTGTTGAAATGCAGACGAGAAATTATTTTACTTGTTAATAATGCGAAAGGAGTGCTGACTGCGAATAAATATCTAACTGTGAACGTATGAAAATTAGTTATATTTAACAAATTTTTATTTGGAACATTTTCTTAACTCATTTAAAACCGATGCACAATGAAGCGAAGGAAGGTTTTACACTTCAATAACGGTTTCCGAGGGTTTATTTTATTTTCTTCAATATGTACTCGTTTTATTTAAGACAAATTCAATTGTTATGGAATATGAGAAAAACAAACCAGAACAAAACCAACTATTAAAAATTAAAAATTTGGTCGCGCTGGTGCATGCGTAACGTGAAATAGACGCGCGCAGGAAGTTTGCAGAGCACGAGAGTAGTGAAAGAGTTGCTGGTGAGGCCAAGAGATATTTCAAGACTAAAGTTTTCTCAAAGAATTTACGACCACTGATATAAAGATCCACTAAAATTTTATAAGGTTATCCAGAATGAATGAAAATATTTTCGCAAATCTGTTGATATGTTTGGTGCTTGCACGCACTCAAGAAAGAGTCCATGTTGATGAAAAGACTCGCGCTCGGGGAAGTAAAAATTGATGTAGTAGCTATTTGGAAAGGAAATTATTTGAATTCGAGTAACTGCCTCCCTTCTTTTTATATTCTCCTATGGAATAAGAGTCTCTCTCTGGGTACATCATTATTCGCTGGTGTCATGTTTAGTTGAAATCATTTGTTTGATTTAAGAAAACTCTTGTGGTAAAAATTTTAGCACCACAAAAACACATTCCCGACAGGTGTTAAGCATATAAAAAAACGCTTGTCTTGTAACTTTTATAACTCGGTAGTCGAAGTTATTAAAGGCTGATAGTTTCTAAAGAGACTGTTTGGGGCTGCGTTGGTGGGGGTAACGAAATAATTTAGATATATCAACAAAGGTGAAATGGTAAATTGGCCACCGTAACGATTACAAAAGCTGACGTTTCGAGCGTTAGCCCTTCGTCGGAGCCGCGTTAGCGTTCGAACGTTAGCCCTTCGCTCCGACGAATGGCTAACGCTCGAAACGTCAGCTTTTGTAAACGTTACTGTGGCCAATTTACCATTTCAACTTTGTTGATATATCCAAATAGTCGAAGTTATTCTTTGAAGAAATATACACCCCGGTGGCCCATTAGGACTTGCGTGCGCGCTCTATCATAATAACTCTCAGGATAGGTGAGGAAATTGTGATTTGAAATAATGTACACAATGGAAGCTACTAAGTTTTTTGGGTACGAATTTTCATCGGAGTTCGGTCTTGTCAAAGTTACACTTTGTCGGTATCATGTTTAACAAATGTGAAGCTATTTGTTTTAGGTGTCCCGTAGAAAGTAAGTGAGATCAATAATCAACCGCCAACCGTAAACAAAGTTTAAAACACAACCAGCTATCATCTGTTAACAAGCTTTGGTAGTGACTTTTTGTTTTCTTTTGGTGATAAGAAAAATAAGCATTAGGGGCTGTTTATAACT